TGCAATCACACGGCGAAACAAGGGTCTTACAGGTACAATAATCACAACTATCGGACGAAACTTGAGCAGTATTTTTACTTTTCAGTCGTGTATAAAACTTCATAAAACAATTATTTATAATTAGCGAAACGAACCATTCAATAATTAAAATCCCGTTATTTTCGACAAATGTTTCATGGTGTTAAATACACGACTGAAAGGTAAATACTCTGGTCAAGTGTCGTCTGACAGTTGTGAATATTGTACGTGTCAGACCCAACGGCAGAGAATCCTCGCAATAGGGGGTAGGATGTTCTCAATATATGTCCTAAATAGGGTGTGTTTATTTTCTTCAATATGTCTGCTTTAGGGGGTACTAAATTTTAGCAAGAACGCACATGGTGTTAGGTTTTAATATCGAGTGACCCCCGGGCCGGTGCCTCGTATATGCATATACCGTAACTGTAATTATTACAAGTGCCCTCCCCCCTCTGGTTACTGATTTCGTCCAACAAGAGAGAACAAATGTCTGAACTGACATGTTTACCAGAACGATATTCTTTTCCAAGTTGATTCTATTGTATTCCTACGATTACACTGATTCTGTGTGAAATCACAATGCTAGCCGCAAATAACGTCGGCGTCAATACTCGTTGAGTTACAATACTAGTTTTTATATAATCATTCTAGTAATATTGTAAACATTATTATCGGGAAAATAATCATAATGTTATAACTTAAGTTTACACTCACTCTACGCCTACGCCTAAATCTGCCCAGGCGTCACCGGTAGTAAAACAATTCTACGTGTCGTCAACAGAAAACATAGATAATCACTAATGTATAATCTCTGTCACGCACAGGTTATGATGCTACACATCTGGCCACTCAAGATTATAACAACCGCAAAGTAGAAAAATACAATAGTTGTTCCGGTATCTCGCATTGATGTGTAAGACTGTACACATACTATCTATCAAAAACTAATGGGCACCATGGCTAAATCAAACTTGCCTTTCTTGTGTATGTTTGTCGTGTTTGCTTCATTGATCTGCCAGGTAAGTTTGAGCGAGGTTTTATAACAGGAACATTCTTGTATTGACATAAAGGTTTCTTTTGTAAAATTCTTCGCTGGGTAGATAGAGGTCGATGTATCTTCACTTTATATTACATCTTCTCATATTATCACAGGCAAAGAATGTTCACACAAATGGAGCTGAAGAAAATAAAGAGGGCGCGGCGGAGAGGAACAAAAGAGTTGAGTCTATATATTATATCCTCGCCAAGACATCACCGGGTTAACATGCATAGACATTTCGGGTTTTGAAGTTGACTTTAGAGACGTCTTCTATGTTTGTCAAATTAGATTCATATTTTGTTACTTCAATCTATCGATTTAGAATGAATGACAACTTACTGAAACATTTTTCGTTCTTAGTTGTAGACAATTGAAAACATTTACAGAGCAATTAACCACATTTGAAAGAGTTTGCTGTACGAAAAAAAACTGTCTACCATTTACCTAAATTGGGTATTATACTAACTATTTATTTATTTATTTGTTGCTACCCTTTTAAAGCAGAGGTTCACTTTTACAATCAAGAAAAATATCATATAACAAAATTAATATTAGTAGAATAAAAATAGCATTACAATCTATATTGAGTAGTCAATATAGACACGTCCCAATAATGTCTTACTCATTTGGCCATGTGTTATAATGTGTGCCAGTTGTGTGAACGATTAATTCGAGTGTTATTAAACATTCACGTCAGAGGTACCAAGTTCGGGGAATTCTCTACCTTTCTATCGAACAAAGACACACAGAGAATCGAATTGTGTCACATTTATGCTCAGCCGCGTTGTTACTCTCCCACGGCCGCCTCAAGACTGCGCCTCGTAGAGAGCTTGCCACAACTAACTGAGATCGGTTTTATTCACATTCCAACTGTTAACCAATTACAGAGAAGTTTAAGAGATCGAGACGTGGCCTCCACACATATAGCCAATCACGCAAAGTAGTCAACACGCCACAATGTCAGATTAATTGCCCCCGATGTCGGGACATAACTCTCATACTTATCGGTGTCTCGTTGACTTAACCAACTTCCATAGTAATATTATATCAGCCAGTTGTTCCAATCACTAATTCA